GTATAAGAGACAGTATATATATAGTTAGCAACTTACCACGACATCTTTTGAAGTTTCTTTTCCTGTTTTCTGTAAAACAATTTAAAGCAACGGATAAACAAACGAGATAACATTACACAATACACACTCTTATATTATTTACGTATAATGAGTTTTTTTTTATCGTAGGACCCTAACACTGTACACCAATTTAATTAATAATAATGAATAAGGACCACCAAGCATTTTGAACACAGTATCACGGAAGGCGTGATGCTCTGCTCCTGAATCCGTTTGCTTATATAATTTTATTAAATATTATGTTAAAATGAATAGTGTCCTGCATTGGATAGTCATTTTTCAGATGCACCACCTACCTCAACGTCTGCAAAGCTGAGGATGCTAACGTTCAGCTTCTTAGCGGTCTCTTTAACCTCTTCGCTTACGTCTTGTACGACAATAATGTATTTAAGTGACTCCATCTCGGACGCTTGCTCCAATAGTTTCCTGCATCTTTCTTCTTTGTCACAAACGGTTACCTTGATATTAGCTAAAAATATGTATGGGTATGTCAATAAGAATTTTCCGTATGTACCAAAATTATCTAAACTCAGACTAATTAGTAGCCTACGTACAAATTCGTGTTTTCAAATTTCACACTTACTGTACACACTGTTTGTAGAAGTATCTCGAACTTTACTGTGATATAGCAGTAGGCAGGAATTAAGCTTTTGTTCACACGAGCAATTACGCGATTTGACGCAACCACTAGCTACGTCACTACATCCGATTGTTTTTTGTTTTTTTTAGCGCTCAATAAGGTAAAGGTAGTCCCGTATTCATGATACTGAACGTGGGGGGAATGAGCTGTTAGCCCAACGTACTAAGCCTCGGCATTGTGTGTGGTAGTGCGGCCAGTTCGTTTCCACGCCGCCTTTTTTCTTCCCCAGTAAGTGAACCACTGAAACGCAACCGCCGCTCCAACCACTCCCACTAAGTGCTCAATGCCCATAATTTTACATAGCATCTTGATTTTTTGTTATAAGCTTTATGTTACCCACAACTAATAATACTATGTCCAATGTGTTATTTTTCATAGGTCTAATTCCTGTATTTTTTCAGAAGAGTAAATTAGTTTGTCAGATTTAATAGAAAGGTGGTTATCGTTAGTCATTTTCGGATGAACATAAATAATACAAACAAGAAATTGGAAGCCTGCTATCCTAGGATTGTTGAAACATTTATAAAAACAATCAAGTGACTCTCCAAACAGAATTCACACACAACAAAACATAATCAATAAAATTAAACAAAATAACGATCGAATAACTGTCATCTGAAGATGCAACCAAACAACTATGCTTCGTTAAGAAATAAAAGCTATAAAATTTCGGTATTCTGATCATGCATTATTAATATTATACGATACATTATTTACAATATTTACAATCTTTTGTATTGAGTCATAAACCATAGTAACATTACTACAGATGTGTACATAACTAAACCATCAGCATGAATTGTGCAGGTACCATTTTAATTGAGTGCGAGATACTATTAATACATTCTTTGGTATTATTTTACTAGACGTGTCTGCCTGTACCTTGATTGATGATGAATTTACAGGCCTCCGGACCCAGCGTATCATACAATGGCACTATAACCATAGAGTAGGCGTTGCACGCTTGTTCAGTACAGATCCACTATTGTAGGAAGACAAACGATCATTATTAATAAGATAATAATCTGTCTCTTATACACATCTAAGTGTTGTGACCATTTATTCATTATACATTAGTTGGATTTTTTGTGACCATTCATTTGTAAACATCAGTGATGACTGAAGTAATTTTTAGATGCGGAAAAGCAAAGGTATTCAATATTTCGACATTAATTATGTCATCATAATGAAAAATTATCCATATTTGCAAGCTTATATGCACGAGCACCAAAATATGGATAATTTATATAATAATAATAATAATAATAATAATAATAATAATAATAATAAAAATAATATGAAATAACGATAAAATATTATATACTGTTTATAGGACTGATATTATTATTATTATTATTATTATTATTATTATTATTATTATTAATTATTATTATTATTGTTATTGTTATCACCATCATCATCCGTCATCACCATCACCACACCACCATGATTAGGCCTATTATTATTAGTAGTAGTAGTATTACCGTATTAAATATTCAGAAGGATTACACTTACTTCTACACAGTTAGACGAGTAGATACCGATAAATGTGTCTGAGTTTGGTTCGCATCCATTTGCGATTAATCCAGCGCCAAAGTTCTTTGATCTCTCAAACACCTGAGAAATATTAAAAAGAAATTTAATCCTGCACAATGTTTATGATGCCAGTATGCCCAATGGACCCCCGTTCCTCTGGATCTGTCCCTGCTGTTTTGTAATCCTTTTGATGAATGGAAGATCACTCAATCCTGGCGTTAGTAAGTAGGCTATACCTTCTAAGATTTAATTATATGTACCAGTGTCTATGGTTACCGTTTCTAAACAAAATCTCTTGCACCACCCCGATCACACCCCCTATTGATATTTCAAACGTCGCATGGCCCCTACCCAGTTTTCTCTATATTCGCCTTTACATAATATAGATCCACCCCTCCAAAAGTGTACTATTTTACTCTTATTCAAATAATACATATGCCTATAAGTAGGCCTATATGTAGATTTACGGAGTAGACCACGCCTCTGGTCAACAAAATACAGAATATACCAACATAAATATTATATAGGCCTACCTCACTGTACTTCATGAATGTGTAAGGCTTTCCGGACTCCCGCCAGCCGAGGCACTGTCCGTCGCCTAAAAATTCAGATCGTATCATGAATCATTTGCACCATTATTCACAAAAAGAATGTCCATATAGGCCCAGACCTGCCATTAGGCTAGGCATAAGGCCTATCTTCTTTTTTATGATAGGGAGGTCTCGCAAGCTTACGAGAACGATAACGAATAGGCCTACGGTTCATTTTTTTTGTCAGTAAATCCATCCCATACAGTAGTATATCTGTCACAAGATATGCCATCCATACCTTTTACATAAATCAACGATCAATATTCAGCTCGGATATAGGCCTATGTATTGTTAAGTTGACGTATTCGTTATCGAAGTTTGCGAAATTTCCCTAATAACTGTATATTTACATGTATTAAAGCGAATATTTCCATAGGACTACAGTATTCATTTTTCACACTAGGTCGGAAAAACAAACCAGCATTTACTCTTATCTTATTCTTGAGCAATGTTAATTTTAATAATAGTAGTAGTATTATTATATAAGGACATTGATGTGTTATAGAGTTATAAGATATAAGCTATGACATAATAGGCAACTGGGACATGAAATAAATATTTTAAAATGAGTTCAAGCTACTAATGATACGCCAATACTCGGCGTATCAAAGAATATACTACAGAATGTTCAATTGAAATTAAAGATACGAAGACTACGAATGTAGGCCTTTGCAATTCCAAACCTGAGATCCGAATGCCGCGTTGGAACGCATCGTAAAGTGTTCGGACATCTTCGTAATAATGCGTCATGAGATCCTCTGGACCTTTTATCATTGGGTTTATGTGTACACCTTCATCTCCCTAAATCAAAACACATTCATCGCGTTAAAATTGTAAATAAATTATAATAGTAATTGTTACCATTATTGTTACCATTAATTCTTATATCAATTGCTACACACTGCAAAGGTGCGTAAGACATTTGTTTTTAAGTTTTTGTTTTTAAGTTTTGTAAACAAAAGTATAATGATACTGAACTTTCCTGTAGTTTCTATCAAAGGTATATTCAAAGAACATAAATAGCAGAAGAATGAGTTCTTCGCGTGGTTTGCATTAAATTTGATGGAACGTCCGCCCTCCCTAGAATGGAAAAAAAAATATTTCATGGAGTGAAGAAAATAAGGAAAACAAACGAATGAGAGAGTTATCCAACCAATCAAAGATATAGCGCCGCCACTCGGATGAAAGAAAATTGCTCTCATGGACGCCCTCATGGGGCGTTCCACTATATCGCGAACTGCTCTATCTTCTGCTATTTATTTTTGGTAAAATAGGACTATAATCAATCAGAACAGGGCCAGTAACACTCACATGCGCGTATACGCTATCGCGTGTGTGTGTGTGTGTGTGTTGTGCTTTCATGTTAAAAAAAAAGCTTACAGGCAAAACAACTGATTGCTGCTGAAAATCAACATCTTTAAGGCCAAGTTTTTCTCTCACTGCGAGCACGCCTGCCTTGTCCTTACTGTTGAGAGAAAATATGTTTGATTAATAATGAGGTTTTCTAAGTGCTTAATAATTTTATTGTTAAATTATACGTAGTACCGTACAATGGGAAAATGTATTCTATTAAAACATAGGGCCTATACATATTTAAAGGTTCATTGTTCCCTCCGTATAAGAGTACATTTAATCATTCACCCTCCAATGTGAGAGCACTTTTGTGACCTAAAAATCAGAGGCGGTCTCAGGGTTCGAATGAATTGAATAGAAGGTTAATATTTATGTGAGGGGCCTATTTGATTTGTGTAGTGTTTAGAAATTGTTGAATCATGAAAGAGAAAGTTTACAAATTTCAAGGAATTAAATACAGTTCCTACACCTGCAGGTCACAGAAAAAAGGGTTTTTCTGTAGGTTTCTGAAAAGGCCAGTTCAAGAAAGGTTGATGGTAATTAGCCAATTTGTAGTTACAACAGCGCATGCTCGTATCTAAGTTCAATCGACATAAAACTATGCTGTTATGTGTATTGACCTTGATGAAGGCATGCGCAGATCTAACTACTAATTGGCTTGTCAGGGGCGCTGGCTATATTATGTTCCATGGAAGCTCTATGGCAAATATGAAAATAAATTCAGAATAATTTCAAACATTGTGTTTGTAATAAGTGGGCAGTGGTACTTTGAAAAAAAAAATCGTCTTGATTTAGAGGTAAGGGGTCTCGATTTAATAGAGACAAAAAGAAACTCACTATTGGAATATGCTTAGATTTACATGATTATTTTTAAAACGGATGAAAGCAAGAATACAACAGGGGTTATAATAACCTGTAATATACAAGGAACCAAATCTCGATAATTTTTATCATTGAGGAAACAGATTATTAAAAATGTATTTACGAATTAATGATGACAGGATGTGACAAAATGAAAATTAGTGACGACATCGACGGTAAATTAGTCTAAACTTTGCCATAGTGATTTATGAGGTTATATTGGACCAAACACGAAACAGAGATTTTAATCGCTGTCTCATAAGTTGAAATACTATTACTTGAACGGTTCAAGTGTACCCTCTTGGCAAATTCATGGTGAAAGCGGGGGTAAGTTGACTCTAATACCACTGCGTCGGACAGGCAAGCTCCATGTGTAGGCTACGTGTTACTACAAGTCGGACCAAAAAGGGGAAAACCTTTTTCTTTTCATTTCTTTTGGACATTTTTCATATTTTCATATTCTGCACGCATTATTTTTTTCCCCGCACAGTTAATGCAGAAATTATAGAGGGCGCTATTTTAGGTCAGCTAAGTGAACTGAATATATGAATATGCTTGATAGACTTCGCCATCGCGAAAGAGGTATTCAGTGGTGTGTCGTGTAGGCCTACGTGCTTATTATGCGTGAGTGAAATCTACGGCGTATACGCTAAAATAGGCATTTATTGGTAGTCAAGAATGTTGTAATATAATCCCAAAGACTTGAAACAGTTTACGTACAGCAGGACTTTGAAAGTAGGACTACTAAGCACAGCAATATTCAGGAATATTTATTCTGGCTATTAGTTAGTATATAGGCCTAGACGTCGTGTTGTAGCAATTATATTCCCCCTATAATTTATAGGCCTAGTAGTAGGCCTACTGATTCTCTAGTTCAAGTTCGTGTTCAAGTTTATTCTCTTTAATGTCACGTAAAATGTTTACATGGAATTCGTTTTCCGAGGTTCAACATACATAGAGATATATACCTGAAGGATCAACGGTAAATCCTCGGAGACAATAATTACGGGTGCTTCGGACAGAGGTGTTTATTACCGTCAATTTACAATTAAGAATTTTAATGAGAAAAAAAAATCCCTGTCAGTTAACAGACATAAGCCTTTGAGCCCTTCGAAATTCAGCCTACTTTAGATTCTCCTCAGGCATGTGTTTTTGTTTTTCTGTATTTTATTTCCTGGAAATAATAAATAAAATGGAATGAGTGTATACTTTGCTGTATAAGGATTTTTTGTAGAAATGTCTGTAAATCAATGAAGACTAGGCTATATTTTTTACTTCCATCTGTTTGATCGTTTTAATTGAGCTATTCAAATTTTAATTAGGTATTTAAGGTTTTTGTTATTCTGTCAGTCAGTCTTTAATAAACAGTACGTCATAGTCAAATGAATGTTTATAATAATCTGCTTGCTACATTCAATTATGCCTATTAGGCCTACTTCGTATTCATATTGAATATGAATGAAATGTTCGTGAGAGATCAATATTAAAACAATACATAGAATTGTCTTAATACAGTGTCCGAGCATATCTAAATGTTTACATAGTTCAGAATAATTGCTACATGATGCTATTATCTATACAATTCTCAAATAACCAGATTCGACGCTGCAGATTCCACAAGCAGTGATGAACACTGCTTTCGCGAGGGGGAACTCAATCATGTTCATAATCACCTAACTGTCCTTAAGTAGTGCCCTCTATATTTTCTGCCTCAACTGTATGGGGGGGGGGGGGGCGCAATAATGCGTCCGCCCCCCTCCCCCCTCCCCTTGACATAACATTTAGAGGGGTTTGGAAAAGTGTTACAGAGTGTTACGGGGGGGGGGGGTGTCAATATTTGCCAAAAAATGTGTTACATAAAAATTGAATGACCCCTAGGAATTTGGTCCAGAATGTAATAAAACGTAATCTATTGTTTAATGGATCACAGGTCAGAGGGCAAGGCTGTAATGCGAACAAAAGCGGAAGCTTCATTTCAATGGATTTGTAAAGAAAGAATTTTAGATCTTCGTTGTTATCTGCACGACCTTTATTATTAGTTAAGCTTTAAGCTCCGACCTTATAGACTATACTTCCTTGAAGGCCTAACACTACGGAAGCGCGCGTAACAGCTCACAGCGATATTGAAAAGCCCTCTCGATAATTATTTACAGAAGGCCCGATATCTCTGGATTCAAAATTCCCACTATTAAAGATTTACTATAACATGGTCTGTGATGACACATAACCATACGATGTTTGTGACAAGGCCTACGTATTATTATTGAAACTCAATACCGTATCATGCCGTCTATTGGCAATTGAAATTGAATTCTTAGATCTGCACAGGGGGTGTGAATCTCATGGCAACCGACTATAGCTCGAAACGGACCACGCACAGTCAAATTGAAATTGAAATGGTAAATGAAACAGTGAACATTTATACAGGAGAATTTGTATCATCTTCTTAAGAAGTAACGGCGAGCGATGCTCGTCCCCTGGCCCGAGATTCGCCATTAATACCCCACTGCAGGAAAATAACGGATCACAGATGCTACAGCATTGCCAATTTTGTTTCGTCTATTTGACACTTAATATAGTTCTTTATTAAGATAGTACCGGTGTTAGATAAGTTTTCAATATACATGGATATAGTATTTCTCTATTATGTCATATGTCGTCGTACTAAATCGTATACTGTACGAGTGATCTACTTACGTTGCAGTCATTTTTTTTTCTCTGTAGTCCGAGTATGCTGAACACCATATGATTCCACTTACGAACTAATAGCTTCCGAATGGCGTGTTTTCAGTCTATTGGTATTGTTTCGTTTTACCTCCTCTACCACTACCAGCGTAGCCTAACAAACCAACAATCAGGAAAAGAGTCATGCATCACACTAGGTGTGAGCTATGACTTTAAAGTCGTTGGTGTGTGACTGTATCAGCCAATCATAAATCCACCCAATCAAAATCCGCCTAATATAATTTTATTTTGCTGTAATTTTTGGTAAATAGTTGTGAAGTACAGTAATTTTACAAAAACCGAAAGGTCCACTGATTAATCTCAGATAAGAAAGTACAATACATAGTCCTATTCCAAGCATTGAAATGTATTGTAATCTTACAAGTTAGCATTCTTTTATTTAGGCCTACTGTCTTTTGATAATGAGTTTGTTTTATAGGCCGTTATATTGAATCATACCTCTATGATTGAAATATGAGTACAATATGCTACAGCAAAATATGAATGAATGCATATAACAGAGGGCGACATAGCCAAGTCTAGTCCAGTCAAACCTAGAATGCCAAGTCGAGTGCCAGTATCACTCTGATAATACTGTAATATTTATTTGGAAACAATTCAAAAGCAGCACATCACCGTGACGGTCCATCAGTATTGAACAGTGAATATTAATATAATCACATCTACCAAATAACCGTATTTATTCGAATAAACAGTCCTGGGTGTTTATTGTTGAGAAGGGTTTTTGAGGGGGCGTTTACTCTATTCGAGGGAGGCTTTTTCGAGGGGCGAGAAAAAATATATATGTATTTTCCACATATTAATAGACTCTAAAATCGATTAAATAAGCTTTTGAAATCACCATTTTGAAAAAGTTTTAACCCGCCCGACCACGCCCACTTTGCTCCTGTAAGGGTATTCAACCTCCGTCGGGCAAATCCTGGCGCCACCCCTGATCCTTGGTATCTATCTCTGATTTCTCTTTTATCGTTTGTTTCCTATTTTTTATTTATGTAAATATTATGCTTTAATAAATTCTATTAGTCAATCAATCAGCATTTAAAAAAAAAAGAAAAACCGCTCATTAAAATTCTGTAGGTGCACAGTACGGTAAACTAATTGCTTTGGTAGGCTATGTTATGGGTCATTTCTATTGTTTAGTTAAGTTTTTGGTGGTAGGTCTATTTTGTGTAATATTATCGTGATGTGTATGTTAAATTGTTATGTTGTGTATGAGCACAGAAATATTTTTATATGTGACAATAAATTCAATCTTGAATCGTGAATGATCTTCAATCATTCGTTATTTTCATAATTTTCGTAAGAGTACAAAACATACTATTTTCTTTGACCCCCCCCCCTCCCTCTCTCTCTCTCTCTCTCTCTCTCTCTCTCTCTCTCTCTCTCCCTCTCTCTCTCTCTCTCTCTCCCTCTGAAAGAGTACACAATATTTTTTGTCATTTGAGATCATCATTTTCATCTTTTTTCGTTGAAAATTATGGATGACCCCTGTTGCTAGCCTAGTCAGGATTATTACTACGGTATGCTTTTGTTCGGTATAGCTATAATACTAATTTACTTTCTGGATAAAATTTAGCCTATCTTAAAATAGTTTGGGGTTTTCCAATGTATTCTGGGCCTACTACGTTCGTACGAGAATTTGTTTCAAAGGGCTTGAGACTCTTGCAAGTTTGTGATCGACACATGGTAGGCATTATCTAATGTAATAATTGTCATTAATTTGTAGGCCTATAACAGACTTCTAGTTATATTCCTGAGAACAAAATGGTCTGTTGCAAGAAACTCAAAGCTATATATAGCAAGCGAGTGTGATGTTGAATGAAGACGACATATGCTTATTACAGGTTGTGAATTCTGCGGTGTGTACCAAAGCAATATTTCTTATGATCTAAATTTAAAATCACTAGATAAAAACCAATCTAAACAAAGTTTTGGATGAAAGTTTTAGAATTTTGATGTAGGGGCAACCGGGTCAGTCAGTCATGAATGGGCAACGTTATAGAGCCCACACCACAACAACCGCTGAATCCACAGCATATTTGTATCCTTCTGCCATTAGGGCACTCAATGATAGTTTATGGGCCTAATTTTGTTGTGTAATTTAGGTCAAGTTTACAATTTGTCGCGTTTTGTTTGTTTGTTTGTTTATTGATATTTTCCACATACATATCAAAGTGTTCATAATATACAGTTAAATGAATAAATAAATAATTATTTAAAAGAGTACAACGAGTATGTGGATCGAAAGATCCACTGATTAATCTCAGATAAGATAACATGGTACATACTCCAAGTATTGAAATGCAGGCCATCGTGATGACATAATTAATTGATTATGTTAATTTTCCTGATGATGACATAATAAATGTCGAAATATTGAATCCCAACACGATGGCGTGCATTTCAATACTTGGAGTATGTATTGTACTTTCTTAAGTATGTGGGATGGTGGCCAAAATAAGTTTAAAAGCAAACTTTAGGATATGACCATTTAAAATGAATAATAAATCATTATTAATAATGCGATGACGAAAAGAAAAAAAAAATAATATGCCAAATAAGAAAATAAGTAGTCTGGTTATATAAACAAAAATAAGAATTACAGATATAA